TTATGTCTATTCACAGCCAGATACAGCATGTTTTTATATCTATTTACTGCCTGTTTCCAGTTTTTCTTCCTGTTTTTCTTCGTTTTTTCTTCCTGTTTTCTTCCTTTTAAAGTCTGTTTTTATTCCTGTTTTCAGCCTGTATCTATACCTGTTTTCATTCCTGTTTTATTCCTGTTTTCCATTTCAAATTGAACACATTTCATTTTTATTATTATCTATTTGTTATTATTTAATTTACTTTTTAAAATTAGTCTTATTTCATTTACATTTTTTTAATTTTAATCTGTTTTCAACCATCATTTAATCCACTTTTATGTTTTATTTCAGTCCATGATATTTTTCTATTTTATTACTGTTTTATTACTATTTTTTTTATCATTTTCCTATTTTTACTTTTATTGAATTTATTTAGTTGAAACGTGATTTCAGTCCCTGAACGCCTCGTGCACGTGCGCGCTCCCGTGTGCACGTGCACGGAGCCTGTTTGGATTTAATGAAGATCTGAATGTGTTTTTCTGGGAGCCAGAAAAACAGAATCAGAGCTGGAACGAAGCCCCGAAATCCCAGAGACCAGCTGCAATATTATTATTACATTATTATTACTGAGGCGTTCAGGGACCGGCCATGAGGCGTTCAGGGACCGGCCATGAGGCGTTCAGGGACTCAGGGGACCTGATAAAAAAAACAGTTTCACCTCTAAAACCAAAGATTTTCCATCAATCTCTCTAAAAATATGAGCTAATTTCAAAATAGACCATTGAAAACTTGATAGATTTCCCATTAAAAACTGAAATAATCTGCATAAATTAATCAGGGAATCAGATAGAATACTAAAAGAAATCTGAATAAATCAGAATGTCTCAGATTTAAACGTTGAATTCCTGCTTTTCTCCCCCAGAGTGAGCTCTGGTTTCCCCTGAATGAGCTCTGTTCCAGCAATTTCAGAGCAAAAACAGACTCAGTTTAATCTAAAATGAGGCTGAAAGAGTCTCTCTGCTCAGTTTGATGAAGAATCCTCTGAAAACAGGAGCTGATTTCACACTAAAATGATGGAAACACCTCAGTTTTTACACCAGAAGATGAAAGAATCCCACTAAAGTCAGTCTGGAATCAGAGAAATTACTAAAAGAAATCAAAATAAATCATAATATCTCAGATTTAAACTGTGAATTCCTGCTTTTCTCCTCCAGAATCAGCTCTGGTTCCCCTGAATGAGCTCTGTTCAGCAGATGTTCCAGACAGAAGCAGAAACTCAACATTTTCTCTCATTTTAGACTTTTAGCTTCAGTCAAACTGACCTGAGAGGACAATAAAAGGCTTTAAAACACCTTAAAGTGTCTCTTTCATCAGTTTGGTTAATAATCCCTCTGAAAAAAGGAGCTCTTTTTAAAACCAAACAATGAAAACTTGCTAGTTTTTCTATTAAAACTTAAATAATCTGCATAAATGAATTGGGGAATCAGATAAATTACTAAAAGAAATCAAAATAAATCAGAATATCTCAGATTTAAACTCTGAATTCCTGCTTTTCTCCTCCAGAATCAGCTCTGGTTTCCCCTGAATGAGCTCTGTTCAGCAGATATTAGATACAGAAGCAGAAACTGGAGTTCAGGAGCAGAAACAGACTCAATAAGGAGCAGAAACAGCCTCTCTGGGCTGCAGGATCTGCAGGTCTGTGTTGGTAAAACTCATTTTACAGGCTCTGGGTTCAGCGAGGGGGCCAAATCCAAACAGATCTCAGGTTGATCCTGCAGGATGAGGATTTTACGCTTTATTACGCTGCTTATTTCCCCCCCGGCTCCGGTTTAATGAAGCAAAACAGCCCCAAACCGGCCGGTCGACCCCTGAACGCCCCGTTTATAACAGTATTCAGACTCACCTGCAGGAGTCTGAAAGCTCCAACGGGCCCTGAACGCCCCGTTTATAACAGCATTCAGACTCACCTGCAGGAGTCTGAAAGTTCCAACGGGCCCTGAACGCCCCGTCTATTTACAGGCAGATTTTATATCTGTTTACAGCCAAATACAACCTGTTTTTATATCTATTTACAGCCAGTTACGGCCTTTTTTTCTTCCTGATACAGCCTGGTTTTATGTCTATTTACAGCCAAATACAACCTGTTTTTATATCTATTCAAAGCCAGATACAGCCTGTTTTTATATCTATTTACAGCCAGATACAACCTGTTTTTATGTCTATTTACAGCCAAATACAACCTGTTTTTATGTCTATTTACAGCCAAATACAACCTGTTTTTATGTCTATTTACAGCCAGATACAGCCTGTTTTCTTCCTGATACAGCCTGTTTTTATGTCTATTTACAGCCAAATACAACCTGTTTTTATATCTATTTACAGCCAGATACAGCCTGTTTTTATATCTATTTACAGCCAGATACAGCCTGTTTTTATGTCTATTTACAGCCAGATACAGCCTGTTTTTATGTCTATTTACAGCCAGATACAGCCTGTTTTTAT